GGGCCTAGACCCTTCATCAGAAAAGGGGGAGGGGAAGGGGGTTCCGAAATAAATAGGGAGAGAGTGGGAGGCGGATAGAAGAGGGATAGAGGAGAGGATAGGTGGAGAGGAAACAAACAGGTTTCTGATGAAGGGTCTAGGCCCGAAACGTCAGCCTCTCTGCTCCTATGATGCTGCTTGGCCTGCTGTGTTCATCCAGCCCTGCACCTTGCTGTCACCATCTACGAAGTGCAAGTCAGAAGAGCATTGGAATACTCCAAGTGACACCATGCAGGATATAGCAGCCTACCTGATTAGCACTGCATTCATAAACACATTGTTCACCACCAACGCACAGTACCCACTGTGTCAACAATCACAAGATCCAAAGCAGAAATTCACTAAGGCTCCTTAGACAGCACCTTCTAAATACGTAAGCATTATCATCTTGAAGGATAAGGGCAACAGGTGTGTGGGAACAACTGCACCAGCAAGTTCCTGTTCAAGCCTAAATAAAAACCAAAAGAACTGCAGATGCTGTAAATTAGGAACAAAAACAAAAAGTTGTTGGAAAAGCTCAGCAGGTCTGGCAGTATCTGTGAAGAAAAAAATCAGAGTTTACATTTCGAGTCCTGTGATCCTTCCTCAGAACTGATGGTAGTTGGGAAAACGTTGGTTTCTATGCAGAAAACAGAGAGGGGGATGGGGTAGGGAGTAAACGATAGGATAAAGGATAGAGCCTGAAGAGACCAAACAGCAGTTGGATAGACAAAGGAGTTGATAATGATCTGGCTAGGAGGGTGAAAGCTGTTAATGGGGACTGTTAGTAACTAACAATAGGTAGTTGTAATGGCAGGCTATGTGCTAACAAGGCCTGGTGTGTGGGGTAGGGAGCTAGGACATGAGAGAGTTTAGGCCCTCAAATTATTGAGCTCAATGTTGACTCTGGAGGGCTACAGGGTCCACAAGCAAAAAATAAGGTGTTGATCTATTTCTGACTCTAGCTTCCCTTCCTCAACATCTCTGTTTCCATTTCTGGAGCTAGACTGGCCACTAATATCCATAGAAACCCACTGACTCCCACAGTTACCTGGCGTATACATCCTCACACCCTGCTTCCTATAAAGCCTTCATCCCATTCTCTCAGTTCCTCTGTCTCCATCGCATATGTTCAGATGAGGCCAACTTCGAGAAGGGAGCCTCCAAAACGTCCACCTTCTTCCTAAACCGAGGATTCCCCAGCACCATTGTCAACAGGGCCCTGGACCATGTCAAACCTGCACTTCTGCCCTCACTCCCATTCTTCCCTCCCGCAACAGTGATAGAGTTCCCCTTGTCCTACTTACCTACCATCCCACCAGTGTCCACATCCAGAAGATCATCAGTTGCCATTTCCGCCACCTCCAGCGAGATACCACCAGCAGACACATATCCCTTGTCCACCTTCCGCAGGGACCGTACCGTCCGGGGCATTCTGGTCCACTCTTCCTTCACCCCCAACACCACCCCACAGCACCATGGCACCTTCCCCTGCAACCGGTGAAGGTGTAAAACCTGCCCATTTACCTCCTCCCTCCCCAATACCCAATGTCCCAAACATACCTTCCAGGTAAAGCAACACTTCACCTGCACTTCCCAGAATCTGGTCTACTGCATTCGCTGCTCACAATGCGGTCTCCTCTACACTGGGGAAACGAAGCATAGACTGGGTGACTGCTTCACAGAACACCTACATTCTGCACACAAAAAAGACCCTGAGCTTCCAGTTGCCTGCCACTTTAATTCACCATCCTGTTCCCTGGCCAACATCTTTGTCTCTGACTTGCTGCAGTATTCCAATGAAGCTCAGCGCAAGCTGGAAGAACACCACCTCATTTTCTTTTTGGGGACCCGACAGCCCTCCAGACTCAATATAGAGTTCAATAATTTCAGGGCCTAAACTCTCCCATGTCCTAGCTCCCTACCGCACACACCAGGCCTTATTATCACATAGCCTGCCATTACACATTACCTATTGTTAGTTACTAACAGTCCCCGTTAACAGCTATTCACCCTCCTCGCCAGATCATTATTAATCCTTTGCCTATCCAACTGCTCTTCTCTCTCTTCAGGCTCTATCCTTTATCCAAATGGTTACTCCCTACCCCGTCCCCCTCTCTATTTTCTGCATATAAATTGACGTTTTCCCAGCAACCATCAGGCCCAAGGAAGGGCCACAGGACCTGAAACATTAACTGATTTTTTTCCTTCACAGATACTGCCAGACCTGCTGAACTTTTCCAGCAACTTTCTGTTTTTGGTCCTATTCAAGGAATAGGACTTGGGAATATATTGCCATTCTTTCAGTACGATTTGATCAAATCAAGAACTCCACCCTTAACAATATAGTGGATATAAGTGTGCCAGAAGTACTGCAGCGGTTCAAGAAGGCAGCTCACCAGCACCTTCTCAAAAGCAACTAGTGATGGACAATAAATACTGTCCCAGCCAGCAAAGCCGAAATTCTACGAATGAATACAAACAAAAAAAAGCCCTCAAATTTTGTAATTCTAACGTGAACTTTTTTTTCCTTGAATGGTTAAATAAAGATTCACACTCTGCATTAAATTTTGTTTGCAAAGTAAGGCAAAAATTTGTACAGGTCCAACTTTCCAGAGTAGTAACAATATGAAATCCATAATTTGTGTGACTGCAAACGAACTCATTCCTTGCAAAGATCACTGAAAGCTGTGCCACCACAAATTATTATGTCAAATGTCTTAATAGTATTCATTATTACTAATAATAGTATATTTTCTCAAAACTTAAACTTTTTTTTAAAAATCAAGCCTAAATTTGGACAGTCAAAATATGTAATTGGATGTTTGATGTTATGTTTTAATGAAATTCTGGTAATGATACCAAAATTAAACAATTCCATTTTGGAACAACTTCCATATGGAAGTGTATCAATGCCATTTTAAGTTGAAATACAATTATCTGTATATAGTTTTTATTTGTTCTCAACAAAGAGAATTCCTGTGAGTTTCAGCAGTTAAAACATGCAATTAACTAAATTTCACTAAAATGGAAAGCAATAATAAATAATGCATATTGGATAAATATACTGTATAAAATTAAGATGACATCCTTAGAAACTGTTCTTAAGATTTTAAAGAGTTTCAATTTTTTCTACCAGTTTCTTCTCTTTCTCCACTAAAGCAGTATGTCACAGTGGTATCATTTTTTTGTTTGTTGAATATTCTCTCTCTGGAGCCCTGATGAAGAGTCATCTAGACTCAAAATGTTAGCTTGCTTTGTCTCCATGGATGCTGCCTGACCTGCTGAGATCTCCAGTATGTTTTTGTTTTCAGTACAGATTCCAGCATCTGCAGTAATTTGCTTCTCCCCTCTGGAGATTCCTAGCCCTTTTCCAGAAAATAACATACTATAATCATTAATAGGAACCAGTAACAGGAATCCCAAATACAAGTAGAAGGTGTTGTATTTCCCATTTTTTTGTCCAGCTATACTTGTACCTTTCCTTAGGACCAACAACCTTGAATGAAAACATAAAATTGCATTCTTCGTTCATAATTAAAGAGCACAGCAATCGCACTCACGTCAGTGCACAGAGCCCGTGACCACGCAACAAATAGTGGTCAATAACGGCACTTGTATTTTGTACCAGTAAATTCAACATTTCAAGGATAAGTCCCATGGCCACAAGTAGCCCTCGGGTACCTTGCGTGATTGGTCATTCTTGATGTAACACTGTATGTTTGCAGGAGATTTGACGGTACAGGATATGACACTTTATCACCATGATTCCTCACTGGGTACACAACTACTGCCCTCATAACAGTAGTTATCGCATCACAGACTGCAGAACGGATCTAGAATGATCATGATCGATACGGTTTGATGTCTCTGCAGCACAGGGTGGAGAGATCCTTAAATTTGGAATCCATGAATGGTGGAAGTGAAAATTTCTGTGGTCGATCATTTTAGCAATAAATGTCTAATAAATAAGTGATTCTTATATAACACAGTGTGGAGCTGGAGGAACACAGCAGATCAGAGGAGCAGGAAAGTTGACGTTTCGGGTCGGGACCTTTCCTCAGAAATGGCCGTGTTTATCTCTGACTCCAGCATGGGCAGTTCTTGCTATCTCGAAATTATTCTTATATGGACGTTTTACTAAAAGCTGATATGAATGTGACTCCCTCTATCAAACGTAAAACAGATTTTTAAACCCCATGTAGATGGTAGCAAGAGGAGAGACAATTTTACTCATCAAGGCTGACACAAACAACCCTATGGAGCCCCGGGACAGAGCTGGCAGTTGGACATCAGCCTGGAGGAAGCAGGCGGCGGGGAGTGTCTCTGCCATGGGAACCGCTCTTCAGGCTGGGCTGCGGGTGAGTGTCGGCCCACAGGCGGCGGCAAAGCTCCGACAGCTGCCGGGGGTGGGGGGGGAAGGGGAGTCCGCCCGCCGCCCCTACACATCCGCCTAGTCTCCCCGTTTCACTCACTTGCCGGCCAGATCCTTGTGGGAGCCGCTGGAGTTCATCAACACTGCCAACTCCTGCCTCATCGCCGCCGCCATGTTTCCCCTACCCCCCAACAAGGAGCTTCAACTGGCAGCAAGAGCGTCTCACACTGTCCATCATCGGGGCAGCAGCGCCACCTGTCCGTTGGAGGTCTACTATAGTCCTCCAGAAGTAGACGCAGACTCAAGTAGCAGAGAGCACTTATACAATAGGCTCTTGCCTTTAAAATACATGTTTGCAATTTTTGTCCCTTCCCAAATAACAAGGTGACCGTCTTCCCAGCACTATTTGCTCAATAAAACCAGGAAGTGATGAATATTCAGCAGGCTGGGCAACATCCATGGAGAAAGAAACAGTTACGTTTTGAGTAAGATATCAATTCTTTGCTATTGAAATGGGGGAGAAACAACAGAAGGGAAGGTTTGTGATAAGACAGGTAAGAGTGAAAAGATGACCTGAAAGAAAAGACAATTAGGACGGTAATATTGCTGGAAAAGACACATCTTGTCAAAAGTTTTTTGTTTTGCACTCAGCAGGACAATTCGTAAGAATGCCAATTTAAATGTTTTTAATCAACCTGTTTGGAGATGTTATTACACACCTCTGCAGCAGGTGGAACTGGAACCCTACCTTCTGGCTTAGAGGTAGGGACGCTATCACTATAAAACAAGAATACCAAATTAATAAAATAAACATATATATTATCTGAGAGGAGAGTGCTGATTAGTCGGCATGTAGACTCTGATTGCCTTTGTTTAAATTTTAAATCTGGCATTAATGCTTTCTCTGGACAAAACATTTTCCCTGACTACATCCACTCCCTTTGCCTTTTGCTCCAAGGCATTTTGTTAGTCAATTTCTCCCATCTTTGGCCCTATCCCAAGCATTTTTCTACATTAATCCCTCCCACGTTTCAATGCCATATAACAATCACATTCTACCCGCCATCAGTTATGAATAAGTATTTTTTGACTTGACAGTTAACTCTGTTTCTACAGATGCCGTCAGACCTTTTGAGTATTTGCAGCATTTTGTTTTTTATTTCAGTGTTCTAACTTTTGCTGTTGTTTCACAGTTTAATGTCTATCAGAACAGAGATAGGACCTCTACAGAGATCAAATGGACTGAAGGGCTATCATCAGTAGAAGTTATCTTCCAATTTTATCAAGAAAAGTTGAGTTTGAACATGATCTCTCCAATAATTTACAATGAATAATGGTTTTCAGTTGTGCCTGATCTTTCAATTTCTATCTCAGTTAAAGAGCTGTGCATAAAGCGTCGAAATTGTTTGGAAACAATGACCTTAGTATCTTTGAATCAGAAAGGAAAAATATAAGAACGGGTTGACATTCCTGATCATTTTCTTTCAATCCCTGCTGAAACTAGAGATGTGAATTAAGATAGAATACAGCCTAACTCTAATACTTCTCCACTCACTTTTGGATACCCTGACCACAGTAATTGTCTATGATCAAAGAAGATTCATCGTCTAAATACTAGATGATTGCTGGAGCTTGCATGATTTATCCTTCAGGATAGGAGGGAGTAGAGTAGAAAATGCATGAATGCAATGAATTCGCTGAATTTAGCAATAGTTTAAAATCCATTCAGTTTAAAATACTGAAATCATTTCACAATAATCTCCACTGGATAAGGAGGAGAGAATAGAATCAGTGCTCTTATCTCCACATATCCCCTTTTTTCCTTGACTCTATAGAATATAGTAAGTGCAGTTGCTCTAATTTATCCTAGAATTTCCACTCTTTCAGACAAGAACTTAGCAGTTATGAAATAGATTCTAAAAGATAGTCCTGCATAAGTAGGTTTACAATCTCTGCCTTTTTGCATGAAGAAAATTCTGATCAAAGAGACGAATTTAGGGCTGGGCAATAAATACCAATGTTACCAACATCACAAAGATATTAATGAAGCTATTGTTAGTATCATAATGGTTGTTTGCTGTGTTCCTATTTATGGAAGTAAGTAAATCTACCCCTGGTTGACATGTAGCTAGTTTCCTCTGCAGAATAAGCACTAATAAAATTTTCTGGATGATGTCTGGGGAACCTATTCAGTGTTTGAAGTCAACAATGATTAATGATTTTAGCTGTATCACTCCAATCCACTTATGTTCAGTTTCAGTGTTTTGAATTTTTATAAAGTTCAGTCCACTTTGTTTTTTATAAATTTATTTCTCTACAATTATTAGTTTATATGAGTCATAATGCAGGTGCTCCAATACTGTTGAAGTTGTTCATAGTCAGTTTCCCTACTGTCGTTAGTAATAGTCAGAGTTGCTTGATTTGTAGATAGAATCCCTATCCCGTTAGGTAGTGCTATGATAGCTATTAATAATGCTCTCAACGTAATGATTCTATAGCACACATAGTGTGTAACATAAAGCATCTATAACTCAATACAATAGAATTTGTCTGTGTTACTTACGTAGCCTGTATACATTAAATTTTGCACTGGTAATAAAGGCGCTATCTTTCAGAAAATTTTACCCATTTTTACCCATCTATGACATTCTACATATGTCTGAAACTCTCAACCATATTATATTAAATCTAATCTTGACTAATCCATTGCTTTCTTGTTCAGCCTGCCTTCCTTCACACACCATAACTTTCAACATGGCCAAAACCTTGCTGTTTCCTGTCATACATCCTGTGTGAGTGTGATTTTGCTGCATATCCCTTTGAAAGGGGAAAAATCAGTTAAAAAGAAGTTTAATAAATCTTAGGATAGTATTTGGAGTAGGTAATATAGTTTAGGAAAACTAGTTGAATTAATCTAGCATATTAAGGTTGCTTGGAGTCAGGCATGTTAACAGAACACTTAGGACTCAAGAAAGGAGAAAGTGTTATCTCAAACATCCTTTCGTATGAGAAGAAGGCCAGCTTTGCTACCCTAAAATATTAAGTCATTGAACTGGAGAAATAAACAGATGTATTTCTAATATTAAAGGTTAAGTGTCTCATCAAGACAAAATCACAGACACAGCAACCGAAAGAACTGTGGATGCTGTAAATCAGGAGCAAAAACAGAAGTTGCTGGAAAAGCTCAGCAGGTCTGGCAGCGACCCTTCCTCACCGGATCCAAAACATTAACTCTGATTTTTCTTCACAGATGCTTCCAGACCTGCTGAGCTTTTCCAGCAACTTCTGCTTTTGTCAGAGATCTCCCCTCCTTCCTGTGCATGTGCCCTAGTGTTATTTTTACTATTCAAACGTCATAGCTGGAATCTGACCATTGAACCAAACCTTCAGGCACCATCTACCCAACACGTGCCAGAGTCAGCAGTTCCCCCATTGGACATATCTGCCAGCTCAAAACCCATCGATCCATAGTGAAGGGCGATCATCCTCAATCTTGATGGACTGCCTGAGAAGAAAAGAAGAAAGTTTATGTTCCTCTGCAGCTTTGTGTTGGTTTAGTGACAAATGTGAAAACTTGCCAGGAGGAGCATCAGACATAACGCAAAATGAGATGTCAACCCGATGAATCTACAACACAGGACTGCTTCCACACCAAGCGGCATAAACAGCATACAATAGGTAGAGCTAAGTAATCCCACAACCAACCAATCAGATCTGAACTTGCAGCCTTGCAACATCCAGTTGAGAATGGTGGGGGTGGGGTGTGTGTGTGTGTGTGTGTGTGTGTAGAGGGGGGGTGGTGGAATGATTAAAGAATTAATAGGTGTGGGAGGAAAGTTTACAAATATCTCCATCCTCAATGGTGGGAGATCCCAGTGGCATAATTTCAAAAATCAAAGCTGAAATATTTGAAACCATCTTCAGACAGAAGTGGTGAATGGATGATTCATTTTGGCCTTCTCCTGACACCCCAGTATCACAAATGTCAATCTTCAGCCAATTCAGTTCACACCATCAGATATAAAGGAAGTACTAAAGGCACTACACACTGCAACATTACAGCAAAGTGCTGAAGACTAATGTTCCAAAACTAGTCATATGGCTAAGATATTCCAGGTAAAGGTACACAATCGCATCCACCCAGTAATCTGGAAAATTCCCAAAAATGGCAAGATCACAAGAAACAAGAGAAATCCAGTACAGAAAATTACTACACCATCATTTTATCTCAATCATTAAGAAAGTGACAAAAAAAAGTCATGACAGTGCTACCAAATGGCATTTCTCAGCAATAACCTGCTAACTGATTCTCAGTTTGGGTTCTGCAGGCCCAGCACCTTCCAAACCCATAACCACTTCCATCTAGGAAGACAAAGGCAGCAGATACATGGGAACACCATCATCTTCAAGTTTCTCTCCTAGCCATTCACAATCCTGACTTGGAAATACATCACCATTCCTTCACTGTCACTGGGTCAAAATCCTGAAATTCCCTCACTAATGGTATTGAGGGACAACTCACAGCAGGTGGACTGCAGTGGATCAAGAACGCAACTCACCATCACCACCTCAAAGGCAAGTAGGGATAGGCAATAAATGCTGGCCAGCCAGTAATGCCCATGTCCCACAAATGGAAAAAAAAGTAATGAGCTCCTGACCTTGTTACAGCCTTGGTTCAAACATTGACAAAATAGCTGAACTCAAGAGGAGAAGTTGACATCAATGCAGAATTTGGCTGAGGAGGGCATTAAGGAGCCCTTGAAAAAACTAGAGTCAATGGGAACCTGGGAGAAAACTGCCCAGTGGTTGGAGCCATACCTTTCACCAAGGAAGATGATTGTGGTTGTTGGAGATCAAACATCTCAGCCCCAGGATATTGCAACAATATTGCAGGAATTCATAATAGTTTCCTAGGCCCAAACATCTTCAGTTCCTTCATCAATGACCTTCCCTCAATAAGGTGAGAAGTGAGCTGTTTAATGATAATTGCACAATATTCAAGCACCAACTGTGACTCCTCAGATGCTGATGTAGTCAGTGTGTACGGGTATGAAACAAGACTTGTCAAGATCTTGGTATGGTCAGATAAGTGTCAAGTACCATTTGTGCTAAACAAGTATCATGTAATTACCATCTCCAACAAAAGAGAATCTTACCATCTCTCTGTGACAGTCAAGGGCATGACCATCACTGAATCCCCATTATTAACAGTCTGGAGGTTACCTT